TATCTGACTGTTCCCTTGGTTGAGTCTTGCTCCCTGCCTCCCAAGGTCATTCCCACATATCATTATATCACATGAGTGGGTGTGTGGAAAATGTGTAGTTTTGAAACAAACAAACAAACAAACAAAAGAATCCCCTCCCCATTCCAAAAATAGAGAAAGAAGAAAAGACAAAAGAAAGAGGAGAAAGAGGAGAAAAATTAAAAAGTTGAAGCAAATAGCTAGCCTGCAAAAAGTCATGTTCCCTCAAAGCCCTCCAAGAAATATTTTTGAAAAGCAGCTACATCTTCCAATCACAGGTGAGATTGCTGTTCATAACCAATCAATCAGAACTAATCTTTCACATATATGAAGGTCAGGCCTATTTAGCCATCATCCCAGAATATAAGTTACAAAAAGGCAGATTCCTACTGAATGTTAGAAAAAGCTTCTCAGCAATAATAATTGTTTGAAGGAGGAATCACTTATCTAGAGATATATATTTTGTGGAAATCATGAGATGACAAGTAATAATTAGATAATATTAGTTAGTTAGTTAATATGTAATGACACTTTAAAAACAGAAATAGCCAAATAGCAATACATTCAGTTAAAATATTTGTTATGCTCCTCGTTTGACCCTTATGCTTTAGCAGTCTCTGAAACACCAGATGTTTTATCTACAGTCAAGAAGACTTTTATAGAGGCAACAAACAATTCATTATTACCAAAAACAAATAAACATTACTAAAATAAACTTGGATAATATACCAACACTTTAGAATACAGAATTGGAGTATCCTATAATGCCGCCGCAATGACTTCAAGTGTGAATAAATGTGAAGTATTACTGTAGTCCAACAAAAAATATTGGGGAGGGGGTATATGAATTCCTCAATAGATGTTTATGTTTAATGGATGGTTAGCTGTCATCTTTTTTAGGCTGGAGATCTAATAAATCTGAAGGAACAATAGCATATATGCTTTAGGGAAGGTCCACTGGTAGTGATGGTCTTAATAGTTAGAGATTAATATTGTAGTAGACTAGGTTCCTGGAAAGAAGTTAAGGTTTAAAGATGTGAATGTGATATTAAATTATATTTTCCAAATTTGTTGTTTGTCTGTGTATGAAGAACTCTGGAGCTCTCATGTTCAGATGCTAGTGAAATGCTACTCTTGGAATAATGTATATGTACCTGTTTTTATGGTTTGGTTTAGTGAACTTCATCAGTTCTTGGCCATCAAGATGGCTTTGTATCAAGGCAAGATTGGACAATATGATTTCTGAAGTCTAGTTTTAATTAAAAACTTTATTGTTATTGTTATTATTATTATTTTGAAACCACAGAAAAGATTTTTCCCGCTTTTCTCTCTTTTTGATTTTTTAATGGTAGATTTTCCTATGTAATGTTTGTGGTATTAATGAAATGAAATGTAATAGTTTTGTTTGCAATTGTTACCACTTTTATTACCATTTGTATTGGTTTAAAAATGTAATAACACATAAATAAATAAACTGTTTCCAGAGAGATGGCAGACTCCCTTTTACTGGATGTATTCCAGGGAAGACCAGACAGCCATCTGTCAGGGCTGATTTAATTTGTCTTTTTGCACTGAGCAGGGGGTTGGAGTCAGCAGCCTAAATGACTTTTCCAGTTCCATGAGTGACTACTTTCATTCAGTCTTGCTCAAATCACAAGAAGACAAGGCTAGAAACTCACTGTCTGGTCTGAACCAGACTAGATAGGAAAAGCAGCCTGAGACTGCAATATAGGTAAGTGCTTTTTCTCTATTATTTAACTTTAAAAAATCAAATATAAAGACCCATAATAAAATAAAGGGCATGCGTCGTGTGTGTAAGTAAATATATGGAATTCAATGTGAGCATGTGAGTATTTTCAAACATTTTGAATTGCTTTTTTCCCTTTAGGGTACCTCAACATGGCAACAACACTGAAAATTTGATAAAGGTTGTATTTATTTCATTTATGCCTGCCCCACTTGAGGAAACTCTCAGTGGTTTACTCTTGACAGTGTATATCAAATACAGATATATTACAAAGGAAGGGATCCAAGTTCTCTAGTTAAATGATGCCACATGTAATGATGCTGTGTAATCCTGATAACTTGAATGATATTTCAAATCAAATCATGTAAATCATTTAAAAAAAAACAATGGAGTATATTCTATGAAGTGTGATTCTCTGGAGCATATGAAAATTGACTGTACCACAGCATTTCACTAGGAATCCATAAAGGGTGTAAAATATCCTTTGCAATTTCAAAGGGAAAAAAACCTGACAAAATTGGAGAAACCCTCATAATCCCTTACATTGTAAATTCTGATAAAATTTTGCTTGGAGAGGAAATTGAGAATAAATTCTAAAAAATGTCTTTGTCTAATTTGACATTCAACTGCCAAACATGATTTAACTGACAACATCAAAGTTCAAGTTTTTGAAAAGTTTAACTCATCACAGTTTTTTTGCTATGATTTATGATGAAAAAAACTAATGAAAAAAATTATGCTCAACTACTTGTCTCTGCACAATCTGTAGTTTGAAGACTATTATATTTTTGAAGCTATATCAAAATTTTTTAAAACAAATAAGTTAAAGTGGAAGAAATTGACTGAAGTTTGGACTAATGATTCACCAGCAAAGTTAGGTTCACCTTCCAGATTTCTGGCAAAAACAACAGCAATATCAAAGTATTTGTTTTCAGGATTTATTGCATCATTCACCACCAAGCATTGGCTTCCAGAATTCTGGGATAAAACCTACATCTCACTATCAAGTCAGTTAATTCTATGAAAAAAGTGTGCTGAACTCCAGGTTATTTGCTTTCCTTTGTGAAAATTTGGGAGCCAATCACAAAGTTTTTCTGTTCTCATACTGAGGTTTGCCAAACAGAAATATGTTTTAACGGGATTATGAGATGAAGTAAAAAGTTATCCTACATTTTGGAATGTCATGGAAAAGATCAAGCACGAAGATTTAAAAAATGATAGCTTTTAACTGAGATAGCCTATCTGGCAGATAAATTTGATACCATGACCCCACCAAACCTGGAGGTTTTTGGAGGAAAAAAAGGCCACTATGATTTTACATTATACAATTCAAGCACTGATAGCTGAACTCAAGCTAGTTATAGCATGTTGTTATTTAGAAAAGATCTTCATTCTCTTGACTTGATGAAATTCTTAAGAAGCTCCAAATATTCAAGTCACTTAAACCTTTTAGTAGGAATATACACAATGAGTGCATGTGCAGACCAATGGAACTATAATTAACAGCACAATTACCTTATTTCACTACATTAATTTAAAAGTTCAAGTAATCAAAAAGGTTGTAGGGTATCAATCAAGGAATGTAATGGTTATTTGTCTTACTGGCAATTACTGAAGACTTTGTTTCTAAGAATATACTTAAATGGAGGGAAAGGAGCCACTGTCAGAATAGTTATGGTTTTTGTGTGTTTACTTCTGTGAAGCACTAACAGGTCTTGTTAATATTTTGAAGACTCAACTCACTAAAAAAGCTTCAAGTTAATATTGATTTCTTAGAGTTTAGACAAATGTTATTACAAAGCTCTTCACAAAATTGAGGAAATACTTTTACCTGTAGAGAAAGAGTTATAAATTGAAAGAATTATTACTGGCATGCATTTGTAATGGTTTGAGAGGACGCAGAAGGTGATTTCTGGTGCAGGTATCAACATAAAAATATTTTTAGTGGTCTCTCAGAATATCACCAAGTCTCACAAGCATTTGGTGTTCTTGCCCAATATAATCACAAGAATTCAGATGAGAATATGAAACTCCTATGCAATTTAGCATTTCAGTCATTTTTATCTACAATTAAACTGATTTTTAATTTGGGAGGTTATGCAGATATCATCTAAAAGGGACATGTCTGACATATTGTTCTTCAGTACCATAATGCTGATCCCTAGATTATGGGGAGGTTTTCAAAAGTTTTTAATTATGAGGGAATGATTCGCATAAAATAAAAATTAAATTAAATAAAAATAATGTTGTGAAACATTATTGTAGCCCAAAATTGATTAAAAGAACTTGTACTTAAGATTGAAGATTTAATTGGGGCAAGTTTTTTATGTCTTACTTGTGTGTGCTGTGTATTGTAGTAGGGGTGTGTGTGTGTATGTGCATTTATCTTCACACAGACTAAAAGGAATTGTTTCAGTATAGTTAAAATCTTCTTCTCTATATGGTATGTAAACTGCTGTCTAATCACTATTTCTTCTCACTAACTGAATATGAGAAAAGCAAAATTCAACTTCAACACATTAGATTCAAGCTTTATTTTGTTGTAATGCATGTATTGTAGAAGATCTGGAAGGAAACACAAACCAAGAACTGCATACAGGTAGTTCAAACAGAATCTTAATATTTGCCATACAATATTTTTCCCTATAACAAGCCTGACCATATTGAAGATGAGGGCTGAGATGGAAGAAATGTGAGTATTGTATTAGATGTTTATGATGTTCTTTTGTCCTATATAATGAAGATTTTGTTGGATTAACTATGCTGTTACCGTTGTGACAAACATGACAGATGGTGCCACAACAGATATTTAATAACAATAGTTAAGAAAATCGAGGGGACACTGTACAACTATTAAAAGAAAGGCTAATGGGAAAGAGTGTGGCATCAAATGCAGTTTTTATTGAGTGTAGCTTCATATGGAAAACACCATTCTACTTTTGACCTGTTAAGGATACATTAAATGTCAAAGTATTTAAGTTTTCTAAGAAACACCCTTAATGCTCTATATTAATGTCATGTGAAGGTTATGGTGTAGACACATACATGTAGAACTACAGACAGGCATGCAGACACATATTATAGGTTAATACTATTATTTAAAAATTAAAAACTGAATAGTAGTGACCATTATATAATTTCTAAACAAATGAATAATTAAAGGTTATATAATGAAATTAATTAATTCAGAAAAGCAATACGGCAGTGTTTGTCTTGCCTGTATCAGAGTTCTTACCTGTTGTTTGAGTGCTTCCAGAGATTCAAATTCTAGCCTTGCCAATTTCACTTCAATATCTTGGGGTTTGTCAGCAATCACATATGACATAAAAAACTTCACCACTAGTGCTAAATGCTGAAAATGAAAAGAAGATGAATAAAATGCCATTCAGAGATAAGAACTTAATATCTTGATCAAGCTGTTGTGCCGAAATACTCACTTTTTAGTTTAACAGCTGGTAATAAACATAACTGAACCATTGTAATTTGAAGAACCATCTTTCTGAGCTACTCTAGATAGTAAGAGAAAAAATCCACTATGGGGGATTCCTCTAGATATTCCTACAAAAGTCTATGTAATTATTGGCAAGGGCAAAATGACCTCTTTTGGTACTTCTTGCATTAAAGAAAAAATATTGTCTACGATAGCAATAATGCTACTGCTCAATTAAACCGTGATGACAGCAAAGATTTCACATAAGGGCAGATCAACCCAAATAATTATTTTACAACTGTATTTTTAAAAGCAGACAACTTTTAAAGCACATGCATTCAAAACCAAATTGCAGAAAGACTGGCTTGTTGGTTCAAGCTGCATGAGACAACTCCGTCATGGACTTTGGGCACTCATTGCTCCTTACCATTGCCAAAATACAATGCTACAATGAGATAAACAAGGTGTAATGATGCTATGAAAGTCATATTAATGAGGGTTGTATTTATTTATTTAATCAATTTGTATAGCTGCCCATCTCAACAAGTGACTCTGGGTGGCAAACAAAATAAAATAAAAATAAAAACAATTACAAACATTAAAATTCATAGCAGCCAAGGGAATATCAGTCAACAGATGTGAATGCAAGGCAGAAGACAGGTCCCTTCACACACTTGGGGCCCCAGGCCCGAGCACAGAACCAAGTCTTTAGGGCCTTATGTAAGGGTCAGATCCATCCTAATTTCTGCTATAGTAGCGCCTAAAAAATGAATGTAAGGATATAGAACATTTTGTAATTCACAGCAGTCTCTCCATTACCATTAGTTGTCTTTAATTCTAAACTCTCTTGATATCTGGACCAAATCCTGTTCTAATTCAGATTACCAGTCATGGCTATGATAAGGGAAGTATGTATTTCTCAATTCAGAAGTGACAAATTCACAGTGAAATCTATTAGGACTAATTCCTAAATATTGAAAAGTCTATATAAACAAACAAAGAAGCATTATTAGCACTGCATGTCCAACTGTGAATAAATATGCATTCAATCTCAGATATATACTTTGTATCTTCATGACTAAATATTGAAACTACCCCAAATTAAATTACGGGATGGTAACAAGAAAAAGCAAGGTTGTTCTCCTGATCAGACTCAGCATGCTAGAGTCACTTGCCTTCATTTCATCAATGGTACTATCTTATCAATGATTTTTTCCATTTTTAAATTATGATAGGCAAAAGAATAGGGATAAAGGAAAAAAACCCCAAAGCATACATCACTTACATACTAAACAAAACTTAGTCTTACATATATACTCATGTCATGTCTCATGTCTTCATGAAAGACACGTAGATTGAATATGTATTCAGTCTCAGTTTCAGGGGCAATTATTATTTAAACCATTTACCTTGCAAGACCAAAAATGGAAAATTTGGTGTTATGTTCTCTTCTGACTTGGAGGGGTCAGAGGCTGAGGGGCCTAATCTAGCAGATTCTCAGCTTCAACAGTCAGCAAGCAGTCAACCACCTGAGGCTGACCCAGCCAACCATCAGCAGGAGTGGGAGGAGTCAGGGGATGCAGGAACCAATCCTGGCAGAACCCCCAGTCTGAGGAGGTGTTGGGCGCTTCTGAGAGCCAAGCAGAGGTGCTCTGCGTGGTTCCTGGAGAGGCTAAGGCATGAACACTTGTAACTGAACCACGCTTGCTTCTGGGCTATTTAAGAGCAGCCACCAGTAGGCAACTATGGGGAACACCCAGCTTAATCTTGGAGATGCATTCCTGTGTCCTTGCTTCCTCTTGGCTTCCTGAACCAAGGCTCTTCTACCTGGATCAGCTGACTAACCTCCCTGGTAATTGGATTTCTGGACTATGTATCTCTAAAGCTGTGCTTAGTTTTTATTGTGGACTCCACTCTCTAACAGCCTGGCTCTCAAGGCAAGGCATTTCCAGAATATGCGTGTGACTGCACAGTTGTCTCTGCTTGCCTTTGTGTGTGACTGCTACTTTCCAGTAAAGTGCATGTGTGTACTTAGTATGAACAAGGACATTAAGCATGTAAACTGTATATGCAATCTAAATCTCTAACCATCCTACAAACAAAACTTCTGGTACATAAATGTTTGCTCAAATATAGAAAGAGAAACAACTTATTTAGATCATATTACAACTGATGAAGAATGTGTGCCTTTCCATCATTATTACTGTTGTTGCAATCATAAATGCATGCAATATCCATTTTCACTGATCTTCTGTTAATTTCCAGGCTGCTGGTAAATAGTTTAAAAGTGCACAAGTGCACTGCAAAAACAGTGTTCCAGGGGAAAATTAATATGTGAAATAATGTCTGTCCAAAAGGAAGCCACATAACCAATCGTTTGAGCCAATGTTATATTTTGAATACCACATTGCCAACCATTATCTGAACCCACCAATTTCCTCCTTTAAAGATGCATAATTGTGCAATGGATGCGAAGCAATAATTTTTGTTTTATATCTGAAGAAATGTAACAGATACCAAAATGATCTTCTATTAATGTTTATGTATCAGACATCCCTTATTCCATGCTTCCCTATTACCTTGAACTTCTAATTTAATGTATTCTTACAACAGTTTTATTACAGACTTCTTAAATCCTTTAATGCCAGAGAAAGGTTCAAAACTACATATGGCTGTCAGCCCATACTTTCATGTCAGCAAGTATTTTAAGGGAAAACACTGCACTTTGGGGCAAATGATACACTGCAGCTCCTCAAATAACAAAAATTCCTTGTTTAATACTATCAAACTTTCCATACTATATCCTCCAGCAAAAGATTCTCCAGCAAAAGAGAATGCCTTGCCATTTTCTTCTTCAGTGTTAATTAGTATGATTGGAAGAATTAAATATACTACAAACTGCTTTTCCCTATTAACTAATGTAAGGAGAAGGGGACTCCTAGATTTGTAATGGGTATCAAACATACTGACTCCAGGAAGACCCATGAAGGCAAGTTTCCAGGAGGCAAAAACTGCTTTTCATTAATCCAAGAAAGATGATCTGCCTTTTGATATAACTTTAAATCTAGAAAATAAAACTGCTTCTCTAAATAAGTTCCTGAGTTAATAAAAAGAAAGGAAGGGATGCATAAATTTCTAAAATAATGCATTCAGGTTCTGAAAATATATTAGGAATGTATAAAGAAATACCACGTAAGGTGTATTTTCTTTTTTTTGCCTTCAAGTCAGTGTTGAGTCCTGGTGACTGCCTAGACAAATCCCTGCAGTTTTCCTGGCAAGATTTTTTAGAAAGTAGTTTGCCCTTGTCTCCTTCATCCTAGGTCTAAGAGAGAGTGACTGGCCCAAGGTCATCCAGCTGGCTTCATGCCTAAGATGCCCTAACCACTACACCAAACTAGTTCTCATGGTGTAAATTATCTGTTGCAAATATTCATTTTTAAAATATTAATTTTATCCCAAATGTTCAGTTCAGATGTAGACCAGTTTGCATTACATCCAGAGAGCATCCCCAAACCTTCGGTTAATACTAATTTTGTTATGGAAGATGTAGGATGATCAAAAAATATCAATGCATCATCTGCAAACAAAATTACTTTATGGTCCTTTGTGCTTGCATCACTCCATGGATCTCACTAGTTTAAATGGCCACAATAAGGGTTCCACACACACATCATATGATAAAGGAGAGGACAGTACTGCATTATGCTTCTTTCTAATTAAAATGGTTAGCTAAAATTTCATTAGTCCTCACATGTGAATTTTGTGGGGGGAATAATAAACAGATATTGCCAATATATATTTTTCTCAAAGGCCTTTTCTATATCCAAACAAGTTTAATATTATTTCTATCCATAACATTTACTAATATTCCCCAATTTTCAGCCTCTTGTTTATGACAAATAAATCCTGCTTATATCAGGATATATTAAGCTTGCTAGTACTTTATGGATTCAGTTAGCAAGAATAAAATGTTAATATTTACATACCTTAATTAATGAAATGGATCTATAATGTATAACACTTATATGATTTTTATCTGATTTAAGAACTACAATGATGTACCAGGTGTTCCAAATGTGATTAAACCACATCTGGAACACCATGAACTTTTTCTGGTTGAGAGAATTAGCTTCTGGAAAGCCACCAAGTCAATTCTGGAACAGCATGGACTGGAATAAAAACAGAATATTCTAAAACTCCCCAGAGCAGTAGGTTTTACACATCTCTAATATTTTGTTAATCTGAATCAATGGTATAAAAGTTTTTTGCTGCTTTAAACAATGTGCCAAAACTTTTTACTTATTTGTTCTTCAGATTCCCAAAACTTCTGCCACAATTTTAGCAGAAAGCATTGTATACTATTCCTGCTTATCATCAACTCTGTGAAAAGCGGAGTTGATGACCATGGCAGAATGAAGAGCTGTCGAGTAAACAGGCTCTTCCATAATTCCTCTCTGGACAAGGAGGACTTGAGATTGCCTGCAAGTGCTCCACGCATTTGCTCCTCACAAGGAGACCACAAGACAATGGTCCCTGGTTGGTTTAGAGCTCTGGGAGACAAGGGAATAACCATCTTCCTTAAACTGTTGAAAGGACACTATGTTTACATACTTCCTTTTCTAATCACTTCTGGAAATTGCTTATTAACTGCTTTTCAGCTATTAGGAACCTTTGGATTGACAGGTTTTACAGCACCAGGTGAGTTTCCTTCAATCCTTAGTGAAAGTTTTAACTACAAGTTTAAGAACTTAAAAAAAATTTTTTTGTGTGCAATAAACATCAAAAAACAGTATTGCATTACAATCTTAATCTTTGGTCTCTTCAAATAATATAGTAGAACTTGATTTCTTTTCATTTCTTCTTTGTCCCTTCTCACAAAATTCTTCAAAACTTTAACAAGCCTCTTTTGTAAATCCCACAAA